CCCCCTGCGTAGCTCTGGCTCGCTCAAGTCCTGAACAGCCATCGCGTATTCCCGAATACAGCTGCCAAGCACTCATAGATGACAATGCTCGACGAAGGACTCGTACAGCAGTATCCACCGCTGGCCAGTTCGCGTCGAACCGACTAGAAACGAATACAGCCGGACAAGGCGCCGCCTTGTCTCGCGATAACCTCCTCCAATACGACACACCTTCGGGCCGCGCCGACCACGTCTCAGCCCCACTTGCCATAAGCGGCTACCGGGACGCACCCGTGGCTGAGAGCCAGAGGGGAAAGAAGAGAGCACTGGAGGTCGAGGAACTCAAGGAAGAAAAGATTGATGAAGAGCCTGGGAAGGGGCACACTGCGAACAAGTACGATGACAGCGACAACGAGCGTGATGAGGAGAGTCGCAGGCCTAAGCGCAGCAGACCCAGCCCGTTCTTCTGCCACCCGTCTCGCCACGTGGAGAATCGTGACCGAGTCCACGCGGCAGGCGCTGTCAATGTCCCGACAGCCGCGCCCGCCACGCCTGTTGCTCCGCGTCCCCCTATGCCTGCCGCCCCTGTCGCTGCGCCGATCCCTGCGATCGTCGCGCCGGCCGCACAGCCGGCTCAAGATGCTTTCATCGTCATACCGCCTCCGCCTGCCTCTGCATACCTCCCACCAATCGAACAAGTAGTCACCGCTCCCCCTGACCTACCATACAACATCGCGCTGCCTCCAATCGTCGCGCCCCAGCCGGTGACGACGCAGAACTTCAGGATGCAGCTTGACTTCATCATCCTGTAGCGGCGCATGGTTTCCTTCTTAATGTAACGCAGAGAGATGGTCTTGAATTGGTCGTGGAATCTGTAAAGTGGTTAGCCCTCTTCTATCGAGTTTTCGTTACGCACCTCCGGACGGACGAACTTGAGCGAGACTTGAGCTGGCAGTCTACTGCTGAGATAGCAGAGTTTCCTGTGCTGCAAATATCAAAGAAAATGCAGTGCCCGAGTGCTATGCCATGGCAAAGATATATGGAGGAGGAGGGAGTCAGAGGGACGCGACTGGAATTCTGAGGGTCAGTCGGAAGCAGTGAAGATTTTTTGCCTTGGCGTCGTGGCGTCTGGTCAGTCGGGGTCCCTATTCACGTGATCGGACGCTTGGAGCGCCGAGACCCCGGATTAGTTCGCGACAAGTTACAACCCCTTCTGGCCTTGGACTGTGCACCGACTCCAACGGCCATAACAAAATTCGAAAGCAGGTTGAACTATGCAGCATGCTAAGCATTAAAAGGCTACACATGCGAGTATATATAATGAGAACTAACTACAGTAACTTGAAGATCATGATCATGACGACGCTCGACCTGCATGAAACGAACATCTCTCTAAGCCAACAAGCTCGTAATTGTACGTGCGGGGTCTGTGCATGGTCTGATCTGGTCTCGCAACCTGTTTGGGTCATCACCGTGACGGGCCATCGTCGGTCCGCGCGATTATTCTACCCACCACTCACCGCTCGGTAGTTGACTCGATTTGCCGACTCCAAAGTGTTTTCGAATGCAATGTTTTTATATGCATCAAAGTAAGGCCTGCGCGCGGACGCCATTGAGCATTCGTAACCACGAGTGCTCGACGCCGTACACATCCGACGAACTCGCCGCTATCGCGCACGACAACATCGAGGGCAGGAGCTTGCCACACTCTCTAAACACGTATGCCAATCGTTCGGCATACTTGCCCTCGGACAGTGCTCAACAGGAAAGCGCGAGGTAGATTCGCTTTCCTGACAGGTCTGTGGGCGCCATGGGCTTACTCCTTATCTTTAGGGACTCCAAGGCCCTAGGCATGTGCAGAAGACGGTGCTGCAGCCGTAATTTTGCATCATGTTTGCCCAAGGTGTGTGTCATTCCTTCCACATGCACGCTGCGTGAAACGTGACAGCTTGACTCTGCAGACCTGCTGGCCATCCTGCGTGGCATGAACCCCGAGGAGGGATTGATCGCCCTATCTCAATGACCCGGATATTCATACAAAGATCGGCGGCTGGGTGTCAGGCTACTGTACCGCTGTGGAGGGAGATTCGGCTTGCGAGGGTCGACGTCGGTACGATGGGACGAGACGATAGCTAAGGAAGGGGTGTTGGAGTGACAGAGGAGGAGATACGGTCGTCGAGGGAAAAGAAACTTGAACGCGCGAGCAGCGATCTCTGGTTACAGAGACGCCGCGAGAGCCAAAAACCTACAACCTGATACTTAAGCTAATATACTGCTCCACTGAACTTACTATTCGTGCTTGTGCCCGCGCTCTCGCGGACGATTCTATACTAAACTCAAAGGCGGGCGGAGGCGACAGCTCACGCGCGGTGGGGGGGAATTCTGAGGGAAAGCGGGACTTGCTCCATTCGAAGGTGGGAGGTCACCTTTATAATACATGACAAAACCGCCACTCCGCTGCCGTGCTCTCGGCCGGAGTGCCCCTAAAGAAGAAGAGTGGGAAACGTCGTGAAAAGAGACCAAAGGGGGACGAAGAAGTGTTCTGTAATGGGTAAAACAGTTAACGTCAGGCTTCGGGAAGGACTCGCTGTTCGCAGCGGGCAATGACTCGGCGCTCGCTCGCGCAGCGGGCCCCTATTTACTTGCGCGTTCCTGCCGTCCTCAGGTCGCGGGGTGCTCCGTTGTCGACGAGGTGCTGCCTACGTCCCGCCGTCCTGGTCAAGCTGCCGTCCGCGTACATGAAGAATAAACCGTCCATCGAGGAAGAGGAAAGAACTATCTTAGAACCCGGAAAAAGGGAGGGCATGGAGATGAAGTGCTGGGGAGAGAGAGGGAAGACAAGGTGCGAAGTACAAGAAATGCCAGGCGCGGCGCAACCCGAGTACCGTTTTATCCCGACGGTTGGACTTCGTGACGCCATACCGGCCGTAACGTTGATTGCCGCTGCGGCGCTCAGTCGTAACGCGAGAACTGGTCTGTGGGGCTCGAAGATGAAAAGGCAAGCGTAGAGTAAGCGTATAAATGGAACAAAAAGGGCGTTCTGCGTGGCACTCTAAGTATCCCCTCTACACCGCTGTAACCAACGCCGCGCACATGCTCTTGTGCGCACCGGCTTTCTGCCTCACCAAGAGGTGCGCACGCTGCGTCGTTCTCATGAGACGCAATCTGATACCAGAGCAGGCCATCGTTTGCTCCATTGGTCCAGCTACTAATCCTACCGAGTGCTCCGTGAACATCTCTCTGTCGCCTGGCGGATACGTAGAGCTGCTCCAGCCCGCGATTATTCGCGACCTGCGCATCCTTTCCAGGCTAACCAGGTCATGTGAAGATGCACTAGGAGGCTTGACGGACAACTGCGCTGAGGGGGTCCGCGCTGGACGTCCCGGACATTGACATCTCATTTGTTACTTTTTTCTGGCTCCTCTCAAGTATGCTTGTCGATCAGCACTCTATCAAATTATGCTCGCTTGCCTGCCGCCCCTACTACTCCGCATGCCGAAGGCATGAATCGATCTTGGAGCCGTGAATGTCCGTCCATTGACTCGAAGGCAACGGTCAAGCCTCTCAGCTGCGGGCATGTTTGGAAGTGGAAGTTGTGTATTTACCCTCCTCATAAATGTAATATCCCTCGTGACTACGTGATATGGTCGTATCTGGCATAACCGTATGCCGCACGTCGCGAAAGTGTGTGTACGGTGTGGGTGCGAATGCCAAGCTCGATACGATCTTGTTCACTACGCAGCCTTCACACCTCTCGTGAAACAGTTACATTTGTGTAAATCCTGCTAAATAGCTATAGAAATGAGAGAAAAACGAGTGCTCATGGTGCAAGACATGCAGAGGCCGGATCATGCGCCAGCACGAAGAAGTTCAGTGAAGCAACGGTCGAGTCAGCCAGTTTCTAGCAACGTGTTCGCGTGAAACATCCTATTGCCTGCATCAAGAAGTCGTAGATGGACCCTTCTTGCGCGCAATCATTATCAGACGCAGCCTGGATGCTGACTCGGAGATTTTCAGAGTCGAGATGTAAGATCGGCCCCTCCAGTCCGTGATCCGCCCGTTCAGCACACAGCGCTCATCGGCGGTGCTCGACCACAAAGAAATTTGCATGAGCCACTCTCCACGGCGGTGTGCCATACAAAAACCCTCGCCATTCGATAGGAGCAAAAGCAAACTTGGAAACCGTGTTGATGCAGGCCGAGAACAAACTATGGTGCCTGCGGATGATATAAAATACAGCGCCTGCCTTGTCCTCCTTCGTTCCACACGATATCATCCGTCCCGTTTCGCACTGTTGATATTGCCTTCAAATGTCGCCTTCACATTTTTAAAAGCGCGTCGTGTCGCTCAGACCACACTGAAACGCGTCTCTGAAACCAACAATAAGGCCACATCGCTCGTCTGTCCCACTACCTATGCCTTTGTCACTAGCACAATAATCACGTACAAGTAGATACAACTCCCAAAGAGTATCCCTTTCGCGCTCACAACATCGACACGTCGCGTACAATCAATTGTCCAGCAACCAGACAACAATACTCCCGAACAATACCCGCGCCACATCCCCCGTCTTGCCAGCCACAACGTCCAGCTGAATATGTCAACTGCGTGGCTCGATCACTGGCTCGAAAAAACCAACGGCACCGCATCCAATGCTCCTCCCGGGCTCCGTGACATCGCGCAGCGAGACCGCGCCGACATGAGCGACCTGCTCGCTGAGAAAGAAGAGGAGCGGGACCTACTGAATGCCGAACTGTTCGACTCCGCGAGCGACTACGATGGCCACGCCACCGAGTCCAACGTTGAGGAAGATGGCCAGTCCAGCGATGACGACAGTGGCTACGGCGGCGACGTTGACAGTGATGACGCGCAAGGTCGTCTTCCGCCTGTTCGTCGACGTGTCTCGCCGCCGCTCGAGCACCGCGAATATCGCGTCTTGAGCCCTCCGCCAACTTTCCTGCAGAACCGAGGTGAGTTCCCCTTATTTATTGTTCTCTTTGGAGAAATATTGACGCTCCCTGCGTAGCTCTAGCTCGCTCAAGTCCTGGACAGCTGCCGCATGTTGCCGAATACAGCGGCCAACCACCCAGAGACGAAAACGTTTGACGAGGGACTCGCACAGCGGTATCCACCGCTGGCCGGTTCGCGTCGAACCAACAAACAGTAGATACAGCCAGACAAGGCGCCGCCTTGTCTCGCAACCATCACGTCCGATACGACGCACCTTCGGGACGCGCTGACTACGTCGCAGCCCCACTCTACACAAGCGGCTATCAGGGCACCATCCAGACGGAGAACCAGAGGGGAAAGAAGAGAGCACTGGAGGTGGGGGAAGTCAAGGAAGAGAATGTCGATGAAGAGCCCCGGAAGAGGCACGCCGCGAACAAGAAAAACGCTTTCGCCAGCCGCAGCAAGTACGACGACGACGACAGTGGACATGAGGGTCCCCGACCTAAGCGCAGCAGGCACAGCCCAGTCCGCCCGTCCTTCTGCCATCCGTCTCGCCATGTGGAGCACCGTGACCGAGTCCATGCGGCAGATGCTGCCAATGTCCCGACAGCTGCGTCAGCCGCGGTCGTTGCTCCGCCTGCCCCTGCGCAAGCCGTACCAGTCGCTGCGCCGATGCCCGTCATCGTCGCGCCGGCCACGCAGCCGGCCCAAGGTGCCTTCGTCGTCATGCCGCCTTTGCCTACTTACCTCCCGCCAATCGCGCAGGTACTCGCTGGTCTCCCTCACCCGCCGTACAACATCGTGTTGCCTCCGATCGTCGCACACCAGCCGGCGACAACGCAAAACCCCAAGATGCAGCTGGGCTTCATCATGATGTAGCGGCTCGTGGTCTCTTATCCAACATAGCGCAGAGAAATAGTTCTGAAATGGTCTTGAAATACGTAAAGTAGTTAGCCTTTGTCTATCGATTCTTTGTTGCGTACCTCGGGATGATTAGCCTTGAACCAAGTGTGAGCTGGAGCTCGTAGCTGAGATAATACTAGCTTGTCGTTGACGTCAGTATCGTCGTAGAGGAATGCAGTGACTCCCGTCGCAGCCAGGTATATGAAGGGAGAGGGAGAGATCTGGAAAGATGCGGCCGGAAGCTTGAGAGCGGGAATGCCAAATTCCTCTTGCCGTGAGTATCGTCGTAAGGGAGATGCTGTAGCCAGGCACCTTGCCATGGGAAGAATGTATGAGGGGAGGAGGAAAGAACCAGCGAGATCCGGCTGGAGGTTCGAGGGCGAAGAAGCGAAGGTTTTCCATTGTCCGCGGTAGTATGGTGGCGTCTGTGGTCAATCGGGGTCCTATTTTCACATGATCGCTTGGGGTCTAGACCCCGAACCGCGACAGCCTCGTCTGGATGCTAAGTTATCCACCCGACTTCAGAACGACAATCCTGATGCATAAGATATGCAGGCTCTCGAAAGCTGCGTGACGTGAGTATGCTACACATCCTAGTACATATAACCAAGAATTGACTCGACGAAGCGACGGCACTGGAGTGACTTGACCTCAGGCTGCACCAGCGAACACCGCTCTCAGTGAGGTACAGTGAGGGCTGAGAGATAGGATGGGCCCTTCCGTCCGTTCAACAACCGTGCTCAGCGCTCATACGCATCAGCCGTCCTCACCACAGACTCAGAACAAAGGAACTTGCGTGAGCCACTCGCAGGAAGCAAAAGCAAGTATTCCCAAACTTGGAGGCCGTATTGATGCAGGCTGGGAACAAATGGCGCCCGCGAATAATATAAATTGCAGCGCCTGCCTTGTTCTCTTTCGTTCCAAATCACATCCTCCACCCCGTTTCGCGTCATTTATATTGCCTGCAAACGTCGCAATCACGTTCTGAAAGCCGTGTCGTATCACCCAGACCAACATTTGTGACGCGTCTCCACAACGCCGACAATAAGGCCACATCGCTCGTCTGGCCTACCACCTACGCCTTCGCCACTCACCCAGCAATAAAATACAACTCCCCAAAAAGTATCTCTGTCGCGCTCATCACATCTAAGCGTCGCTTACAACCAATCGCTCCGCAACCAGACCACGATGCTCCCAAACAACATCCACGCCACATTGCCAGCCTCGCCAGCCACAACATACACACTCACGGAATTACACGACCTGCACAGGTCAATCGCGTGGCCCGATTCTGGCTCGAAACAATAAACACCCCCGCATCCGACGCTCCCCACGACCTCCGTGGCGTCGCGCAGCGGAACCGCGTCGGCATGAGCGACCTG